ATATTCGTTATCGCGGTGTGCACCGCGGCAAATGTAAATATTACCGCGTTTTTCATGTATTTAGATACATGATTTAAATATGTAAATGTTATATTGCTTTAAAATATTTAATAAGTTGCTATAGCGTTTACGACGGAGCAACGTATATGTATACAGTTTGCTGGCTAAAAAATAGTTTTACTCCATTGTAGAACATTTAAACCATGCTTTAGACCATTTAGCACGACGGTAAATATTATAGTTTCTTTTTTTATGAATAATAAATCCTGAAGAACCTTGTCAAGTTTTGGAATTGAATCTCTGAAAAATCAAAATTAAAAAAGAAGACGGCTGCGGCAAAACCTTCCTTTTAATATTTGATAGATGACTCATTGCTCGATATTTTTTTTTTTAAATTATAAGGTATAGTAAAGAATCTTTAAGAAATAACAATTTTGTTATTTAATAACCAATACCAATATATGACTAATAATAATATATCATTGATAATATCATTATTAATAATAGTTTATTATAACCCAATTTATGTTCAGTTTAATTCCACTGGTTCAGGATTGGTTCAAATTTCTTGGTACAATAATTATATATCAACAATATACAGTAAATGTGAAAATAAAATTTGTCCGATAAGAAAGAAATGTGCTAGTATAAATTATTTTATATGCTATTGAAAATAAAAATGATAAAGTAGATCATCATATATGTAGGTATATGACATAAATACATATGTATATATGTGAAAGTGCACACATTATGTAAAAAGCAGTGCGAGCGAACTTACTACATACATATGTACATATACTCATGCTTCTGGTAACCTATTCATATAAGTTATAGGAGTATTTTAAATAAATAGTGTATTAAAAAAATAATCTGCAAAACGCAGTAATACGTAACGAATTATATTATATGCGACTGTCGTTTAGTATAAAATAATATCAATGACATTTAAATGACGGAAATATAATTTTAGTTTTGGATAAAATGCATCGAAATTTATTTCGTATATCGAGTATTTCAATTTTGCAAAAACGTTTCTTCAAGAAGGATCAAGTAAGAGTTAGATTTGCACCAAGTCCAACGGGTATGTAACATGGTTAATACTTTTGAATGAACAATTGTATGCGGAGAGATATTTTTGTGTTATGTTTAAAATGTTGATCGTTGAGATAGAACTTTTTTTTTGAATACAGGTTTATTGCACTTGGGAGGTCTACGAACTGCATTGTATAATTATTTATTTGCACGGGCTAACAATGGTACGTTTATTTTACGAATTGAAGATACAGATCAAAGTAGATGCATACAAGGAGCAATGAAGAAGCTTTACAATGATATGCTTTGGTCTGGAATTATTCCCGATGAAGATCCTATAAGAGGCGGACCTGCCGGGCCATATATTCAATCAAAACGACTTGATTTATACAAGTATGAATAGTTATTTGTTTACTTGATATATTCAGTATTATATCGAACCTATCATCCGCAAGTTTTATTGGACTTTCTGTACAGATTATTTGGATAATTTCATGGTCAAAATATAGGAAGATCAGCAAGCGTTTGCTGTGTTAAACATTCTTAAAATAAAAATATATGTTGTAGTTTATAATTAAAATTTTAATTCACTGTAAAAACATAGCTTAGGTCAGTAGAATAACATATTATACCATTTTATGTAAATGGAATTATATACTCTTTAATGTTATGTTTATAGCTCAATTATGGTTAAACGATTCTTAAGAAAAGTGCTTGAATGTAATATGAAGATCTTAATGTACCATTGATTAAATTACAGAGAAGAAGTACTTAAACTTTTAAGTAATCAATCTGCATATTACTGTTTCTGCACAGAAAGCAGACTGCAATTATTGCGGAAAGAAGCTTTGAAGTGCAGGCAAGTGCCAAAATATGATAACAGATGTCGACATTTAAGTAGTAATGAAATAAAAGAGAAACTTGATAAAGGACATCCATACTGTATTAGATTTAAGGTAGCGTACAAATAATTTTGAATACTATAACTTTAATAAATTGAGTTTTAGAAAGGGTCCTAAATCCATGTTCCTAATCTGTAGTTATCATCTACACCAGAATGTTTTGATGATATGATATATGGTGAAATAATCCATGATGTTGCAAAAATTGAGGGTGATCCAATTATTATTAAATCAGACGGTTATCCAACTTATCATTTTGCAAATGTTGTCGATGACCATTTTATGGAAATAACCCATGTGTTACGAGGTATTGAATGGCAAATATCTACACCTAAACATTTGATGATGTATAAGTAAGTTTAAATATGTATAAAAGATACTACATTACAATTAATTGAGCAAAATTGAATAAATTATAATCTTAAAGAAAATAATAAAAATAATAAAATTATTACAGAGCATTTAATTGGACACCTCCCAAATATGGACATTTACCTTTAATATTGAATTCTAATGGAACCAAATTATCAAAAAGACAAAACGATATACATATTGAATTTCTTAGGTCGCAAGGAATTTTTCCATTGCCAGTTATAAATTATGTTATACATGCTGGTGGTGGTTTTGATAACAAAGGAGGCACCGAGTACATTCACAGCTACGAGGAGTTAATTAAGCAAGTAAATATTAGTGTGTTAAAGTTAATAATTAGTTAATTAAAGTTCTGTTATTGCAGAATTTGGATCTTAATATGTATGTCATCCAACTAATAAGTCACAAGCCTCACTATAGATTTGTATTGTGCAACTAATAAGTGCTTTTATTACTTTATTGTTTTGCACATCAATTTTTTATTTTTTCAGTTTAATATTTCGAATATAAAAGTGGCCTCTAATAAGCTTATACCTGAAAAACTGTTACAATTTAATAAATTAGAAATTTCAAAGCTACTGGCAAATGAAAAGAATAATAAATTCTTGGTAGAAAGAATTAAAGAGCTAATCATAAACGCATTTCCAGATAGGTATGTACACTAATTGTAAATCTTTATTCCTTATTAGTGTATGATGTAGCCTCAACATTGCTTTAGGGAAGCGGATAGAAGTTTACAATTAGATGATCATCATATATGCTCAGTATTGAAATGGGGACAGAATAGAATATATAAATTAACTGACCTGGTATCTCCAGAGTTATCCTTTTTATGGACAGTACCACCAACTACGCCTGACAATATTCAATTGGAATGTTTAGGTATAAATTACATTTAGTAAAAATCTTTACATAATTAAAGAGATTATTTCTTTTTGTTACAGATATGCTAAAAATATTAAACACGGAATTAATTGAAACTGACATTCATAATTTTAATAAGACATGGATCAATAATTATCTTAAAGAGTTTGCTAATGAGCATAAAATTCCCTTCGCAACATTGATGAAGGTTTTACGTGGTATTCTTAGTGGTTTAAAGGTGATTTTTGCCTAATCATTGATACAGTTTTAGA